CCCCCCCCCCACCAGCCTGGTCACCCCTAACTGCCTCTTCCTACTGGCCTGGTCGCCCCCAACTGCCTCCCCTGCTGGCCTGGTCGCCCCCAACTGCCCCCTCCACCGGCCTGGCACCCCCAACTGCCCCCCCCCCCTGCTGCCCTCATTGCCCCATGCAGCCTGCTGTTTAGTTGTGTGGTCGTCCCTCACTAACCCCCTTGCCGGCCTTGTCAACCCACGTAGCCTGCTGTACGGTTGTTGACGGCATCCTGGACAATTTGCATATTCCTCTATTATTAGTATAGATGGACACAGGTTGCTTCCATGGCTTGGCTATTGTAAATACTGCTGCAATGAACATAGGGGTGCATATGTGTTTTCGAATTAGTGTTTTGGGCTTCTTCGGGTCAACACCCAGAAGTGGTGTTGCTGGATAATATAATAGTTCTGTTTTTAATTTTTTGGAAGCACCTCCATATGGTTTTCCATTGTGTCTGCATCAATTTATAATACCACCAGCAGTGCGTAAGAGTTCCCTTTTCTCTGCTTCTTCATCAACACTTGCTGTTTGTTGATTTATTGATGATAGCCATCTGATAGGTGTGAGGTGGCATCTCGCTGCAATTTAATTTGCATTTCCCTGATTAATGATGTTGAGAGTCTTTTCATATGTCTGTTGGCCATCTCCAAATAGACATTTGGAGAAATGTCTATTCAGGTCCTCTGTCCATTTTTTCATCGGGTTGTTTGTCTTTTAGGTGTTAAGGGATATGAGTTCCTTATATATGTTGGATATTAACCCCTTGTTGGATGTATCGTTGGTGAATGTCTTCTCCCATTCAGTAGGTTGGGTTTTGTTGTTGATGATGGTTTCCTTCTCTGCACAAAAGCTTTTTATTTTGATGCAGTCCTATTTGTTTATTTTTTCTTTTGTTTTCCTTACCTAAGGAGACATATCTAAAAAATATGACTTCCCAGGTAGTGCAGAGTCATGGAGAGAAGGGTCTTGATGTGGGGCAGTGTGGGGAGTTGGACCTACACTGGTCCCATCACTAATTAAAATCATTGCTTTGGCCCAGCTGGCGTGGCTCAGTGGTGGAGCATCAACCAATGGACCAAGAGGTCACGGTTCGATTCCTGGTCAGGGCACATGCCTGGGTGGCAGGCTCCATCCCCAGTGTGAGGCATGCAGGAGGCAGCTAATCAATAATTCTCATCATTAATGTTTCTATCTCTCTCTCCCTCTCTCTTCCTCTCTGAAATCAATAAAAACCTATTTTAAAAAATCATTGCTTTGGGGAGAAACTTTATTTTTACTTATCTTTTTCTTTATTTTTATTGTTGACACTAGTACAGATGTCTCCATTTAAGACTTGATTTTTAAAAACAGCTTTATTGAGATGTAATTCCTATGCCATAAAACCTATTCACTTTCAGTGTACAATTCTATGATTTTTAAGAAACTTACAGCCCTGTCGGCATGACTCAGTGGTTGAGCGTTGACCTATGAACCAGGAGGTCGATTCTCAGTCAGGGCACATGCCGGGGTTATGGGCTTGATCCCCAATGTGAGGCATGCAGGAGGCAGCTGATCATTGATTCTCTCTCATCATTGATGTTTCTATCTCTCTCTCCCTCTCCCTTCCTCTCTGAAATAAATAAAAAAATATATTTTTTAAAAAGAAACTTACAAAATTATGAAACCATCACCACTTAAAAAATTTACGAACTATAAGCAGAGCCACTTTAAAGTGGTGTCAGAGCCGTGCCTTATGCCTCAAACCTTCAGAATGTTAAAACTGGGCAAATGAGCCTTTGGACTGGCCTAAGCAACCTCGTGTTCCGAAGAACTGTTTGCAGAGATAACAAGAAAGCTGATATGAGGAATACCGGGCAGATGACTACAGGGCCACAAAGGAAAGCCATCCTTTAGGACTGACCACACGGAGCTGTTTTATCTGCACCGATAGCAATGCCTCCCCTTCGTTGATGTGATTGATATTCTATTGACGTAATATTCCTTCTGCTGATGTAACCGCCCCCCTTCCCTTTCTCGTAACCACCCCCGCCTTTGCTTCCTAATCAGAACACCATTTGGGTTTCTGTCTGAATCAGGGCTTCCCAAATTACAATTTTTTTTTTTTTTTACCTCAAATAAACCCTTGTTGCCTCTCACTTTGGCCTTTTACTTTCAGGTTAACACCATGATTTAAGAAACCTCGTGCCCATTAATAGCCACCCCACCCCTCCCTCCATCCCCAGCTCGGAGACCACTAATCTACTTCCTGTCCCTCTAGGTTAGACCCTTAGAGACATTTCCAGAATGTGTTCTTCTGTGTCAGCTTCTTTCACTGGACATGACACACGTGGGGTTCGACCATGCTGTCGCATGTGTTAATACTTTGTTCCTTTTATTTTTATTTTTGTTAATCCTCACCCGAGGATATTTTTCCATTGATTTTTAGAGAGAGTGGAAGGGAGGGAGGAAGGGGGATAGAGAAACATTGATGTGCAAGAGACACATTGATTGGTTGGTTGCCTCCCACACATGCCACAAACCGGGGCTGGGGATCAAACTTGCAACCCAGGTACGTGCCCTTGACCAGGATATGAACCTGGATGGGTGAGCCAACACTCTAACCACTGAGCACACCGGCCAGGGCGCTTTGTTCCTTTTATTGCCAAACAAGATTCCAGTGAACGGATATACTACATTTTGTTGACCCATTTACCAGTTCAGGGACATCTAAGCTGTTCCCACTTCTTTGACTGCTGTGAAGAATGCTCTGTGAACAAGGGTGTGCATGAGACCTGACTGTATTGCTGTGGCCACCCCAGCCTCTCTGGCCTCCCTCCAGCCTCTCTTCCGTGCCCTCCTCTCTCCCACCCTGGGCCTCCCACCTTCTGTGTCCTCTACCGATACCCCCATGCAGACTCACATCCCAGCAACCCCCTCCTTGGGGAAGCCTCCCCGTTCAGGAGGGGTTGAGTCCCTTGCTGTAGGTGTCATGCTCTGTGTGACACCTGAATCACACTCACAGCCCGTGAGCCCCCGAGGTTGGGATCTTGTGTATTTTACTCATTGCTCTATCCCAGCTCCTAGCACAGTCCCTGGTGCCATATCCAGCACTGCAAGGTGTCAGGATCTGGAGAAGGGGTTGA